GGTTGGGCCATGTACCTTCCCCATGCCCACCACTCTGATCATGATTTTTTGAGCTCCGCAGGAAAGACCATCTTCAAACTGTTCTCTGCTAATACCACTTGTCGATTTTGGGACTCTGCAAGAAACTTCTCTCAGTTTCAGAAACTTCTCTCAGTTTCAGAAACATGTGAGATACTGTTGTCTAAAGTTAACTAGGCATGAATCATTGTGACTCGGACTCAGTACATATCTGTGTTGCTATGCATGTTCTTACATGGAAAATGGTTTGTTATGTTGTCATTTATAAGCCAAACACCCTTGAAATAAGCAAGAGAGAGGGGGAATGTTTTTTTAACCAACTTAGTGTAGCCAATGGTGAGAGTTAAATATAACTGAAGTTTGGGATCTAGTTTTCCGTATTTTCCATATGGACGGTTCTGGAGGTGGTGGGAGTGCAAGACTAAGTGCCTGAGGACTGAGTACCATAGGACCAAGAACAGCCACAAAGCAGCTGAGCACAGTCATTGCTCTCCCTAGAAGATGGGACAGTGAAAACAAGAGCCGTGTCTAGGATGTGAGTGAAAGACACAAGCAGCTCTTGAGAGTCGTCACTAAAGACAGTTTTTAAGGAGCACTGGGAAGTGTAATTTGAAGGAGACTCCATCTGGAGTGTGGAGGTCTGCACGTTGCGACTCTCCCCGGGCTCAGCTGGCCCTCGTCCACCATTTCTGGTAGCTAACGCTGAAACCAAGAACTGCTTGAGCTCTCAGACATCCTGGAGTGAATGGGTCAGTATGTTAACAACTCATAAGTCTCTGAGTGAGTACTAGGTCTACTGGTCTATTAGGTTTATCCTAATTTTTCTTCCCAGAGAAAATACATCTATGAAAGTTGGGCTCTCCATCTGAAAAACTTAGTTATCACAGAAACAGTGTCTCCCCTGATCAGTTTCCCTGATCAGTTTCTTCACCCACAATAAGCCTTTCAAATCATGATGAAAATCAGAATCCTTTTGCACAGCCTTTTGTCTTGACTGTTGAGCAGGAAGCTGCTGCATGGCTGAAGGAAGAAGGAATTGAGTGTGAGTCCTCTGTTGTAGATTACCTCCAAGCTATCACCAAACTGTGCCACTGCTTTCAGAACAGCCTGGGTGACATTCAGCTACTCTGGACTTGCTCACCTATGCCCCATATGAACCTTTCCATATTTGCCATTTAATCAGCAAACGTGTGCTGTTCAGTAACCACTATAGATTGCAACAGGTTGACAGTTGGGTAGACTTGATAAAGATAATCAAGTTGCTGAAGCTGCTTTCTCTTCTTTAGCCTAATGGTCACGTCTTTACCACAGTTCTCTGTGACCTTGGGCGAATCTGAACTGCTCTCAGCCTAGGGTTTTCCCAAATTAAGTGAAATATTCCATATAAAGCACTTAGCACAAAATAAGTGCTTGGTGATTGTTGATGAGGATGGAACAGAAGACAAGACTGGTTAGTGAGGAGTATTTTTCTTTTTCTTTTCTTTGTAACACTTTTTCCCAACCCCTTGTCTGTTTCCTTTGGCCCCATGCCATCACAATACCCACACTCTTAAAGAAAGTCTCCAAGGCAGGACTCTTCTCCCTCTCCAACTTGGGTTACACTTAAATATACCATTGCTAGTGAGATGAGGTGTGCCATCTTATTCACGTCCAGCCTCTTCCTCATGTCCGCCCACAATGAATCAGAGGGACAACCATCTCTGGGGGATTTGCCTGTATACCTCTGGCTGCATTCTTAGCCATCTGTGGTGCCCTGATACAAATACCAGGATTTCTCTGGCTCAGTATTACTGAGTAAACAACCAGCTCACTTATGGTCCCAGCAGGAACCGATAGGAATTACATTCAAACAAGGATACACTCTACGAAGATTTATAAATGGACTGTTTACGAGGGGGCAGGTAGGGAAAAGCAAACAGCAAGGGATAATGCAGTTACACGGGGCTGGTAATGACAGAACTGTTCCCTGTCCCTAGGCCCAGAAAGGAGGGACCTCTGGGGTGTTTCCTAGAACCCCAAGGCAGAGGTTTGTGTAGAAAGGGCCACCTTGAGAGGAATGTGACCTTTGGTTATGAGTGCAGCCAGCTGGAGACAAATCCAGAGGGAGGAGTCAGGAGAATGAGCATCCTGGCTCCTTTCCTCCTCCTCTCTGATCTACAAAGGCTCCTTCTCAGCCAAATGCAATTGGAAGCCAGAGGGCAAGGGAGCCCATTGCAGTCAGCCTCCTGGGGCAGGACAGAGAAGGGCAGAGAACAGATCTGGAGGGGCCAGAGGAAGGTATCTGGTACCTTAAGTAAATTAAAGTGGGCCATGCACGGGTCAAGGGTGACCAAAGATGACCAGTGATATGAACCAAGGATTATAGTTTATCCAATTCTTGCAGCTGGGGTCCTAAAAAATCAGTTGACCCCTAATAACTTATTTTGTGCTTCTAGAGAAACCTTCAGCTTTTGTTTTGTGACTGGATTTTCAAAATCTGAACAATTGTTACTCATGGTAACAGTCCAATCTCTGACATTATTTGTCTTTGATTCCGAATTATTTTCCTGTCTGAATATACTGGCTTGTGGCACCGGGGGGTGGCCCCCACTTCCCACCCACTGAGGAAAAACCAGTTGGTGCTCAGTCTGGGTATATGGGAGGCCTTAGGCAGACAGCACGCTGGTACCCCCAGGGAGCTCTGGGAACAGGCTCTGTGGACCCCCCTTTAGCACCCACAGAGTGGACATCAGAGTGCACTCTTCTCCTGCATGTGGAGGTGGCAAGGGGTGGGGGGACAAGCAGGGCAATGTTATGGAGTTTGTTGGAGAAACTCCAGCTCAGGACTGGAGGCAAAAATCCACCTGCTGTTACCATTCTTCCTACCACACAATAAGAAAGCTGGGAAATAGTCCATTGGACCCTAGTGATGGACTAACAGACTAAGAAAAGCTCAGCCTTCTGAAATCCCTGCCCCAGGCAGGGGTGGGGCTTTGTCCTAAGGGCTTCTCAATTTGCCATTCTGCAAGGCTGGGCCCTCAGAACAGGCAGAGTGGGTGGTGAGCTACAAGGTGTGACCGGAGGGGCTTCAAAAGGCTTGCCTGACCCCAGACTATCTCCTTTGCGGGCCTGAGGGTCTTTCTGAAGTTTCCATCATTTGAGTCATTTCTTTATGCAAAGAGTTTATTTCAAGAAGTCCTCTGCTAAAATGTACCTGCTGCTTAAAAGGGTGTGGTGCACATTTGTGTTTCTTTTTGTCTTCTCAACATCGAACTTCCCTTCCTGTTTTGAGAATTTCACACCTTATGAGTATTTATAGGAAGTAGAGCCCATTTTCTGTTGCCAGGGCAGGGTCCTAAGACCAACCAACCAGGTCCACTTGCTCCAGACCGGACACTGAGCGCTAGTGACACAAAATGGCAGAATTTGGGACAGCGTTTATTTTGGTAGTGGGTGGCAGCAGTGGCGGTGATCCCTGTGGCAGTGGCCCTGTTCCAAGCTGTCATGGCAGCCATGCAAACTGCGGTATCCAGCAGTAGGGGGTGGCTGCCATTATGTTCTCAGAATTATTGTCTATGGCATGATTTGGGCTGTGGCTTCCACTGCTGTGTAGCATCTCCTGATCCTGCTCATTATTAAAGTCTGTTCCTCAGCCCAGAGAGTCTAGAACTTCCCAGTATCCTTCTACTAAATCCCCACACTGCTTAAACCAGACATCCTTAGTTGCAGGAAACTAAGAACACCCAAGGGGTGACTCCAGGGGTGATACGTTCACTCAAGAGAAGCCTTAAATGTACCAGCCACAGAGAGATGCATTTGTCTAATTAGTTAGTTGTCACCCTGGGAAACAGTAGGACCCCAGGAAAGAGTTTTGTTGAGGGGGAGGAAATCTGGAGAGTCTGGCCTTACGGACATTAGCCGATGGGGCTTCCCCAAAATGACACTGGACAGAGGCTTCAAGGCAGTCTGAGGGACACACAGTCAAGGCACTAGGCTGGGGCAGTGCAGGATGGAGAAAGATACGTGGACAGGAAAGATGAAGGTGCAATAAGGGTAGTAGCTAACACGGGCTGAGGCTGATGCTACTGAGTGTGGAAGCTTGCTGAAACGGCCTTGTTTATACACTTGTAGAGCATCCAAGGGAAGTTTCTGCTTTGTCAAAGTAAGACCACTGATTTTATCTCTTTGATTTGCCTGAGCATTTCTGCTGACATTTCGTTTTGATGGTAATAGTAATCAGTTTGTGGGATTTCTACCCTCTCCCCACTCCCCACACCACCACCACCACCATCACCACTGCATTTAGTCCCTTTATGATTTAAAAAGCAGGGATAAAGAGTGCAAGGACAGTGTAAATTCTCAACTATGACAGGGCAAGGTCTGTGACTTTATGATCTTTCCCCCAGAGAAGAGCCCAGAAATTGTTCAGTGAGGGGAGGTAGGGGAGGGAGAGGGAGGGAGTAGTGAGTAGAGATACTGATCATCTGCTAAGAAGTTGTTTGGGTTTTGTGGAGAGTAGGGGTAACTCATGAGTTAGCAGGATTCACTCCTTTCCGCATTCCTCTTCAGTTTCCCTCAGAACAAGGACTGTGCCTGGTGTTCAGTTACCTCATAAATAAACTCAGGGCCCAGCTATTGTTCTCTGAACTTTTCCATGGAAGGGGTCTGTTCACCTGCCAGAGGCTCCAGGTGTGAGCCCAGGGCACCCAGAGAGGACCCTGCCACAGGCCCACTCCGGCTGCAGCAGCGATGCAAGCCACAACAGGCCAGTGCTCCCATCTCAGATTCCCCAGCCAGGCTCTGAAAGACTTGTCCTTGGGGAACCCTCAGGGCACTGACTTGCGTCCAGAGGATATGCTCTTGGAGTTTTTTTTGGCTGACGGGTAGCGCTGAATCACCACCCTTTCTCACCAGCTCCATGGATGTCACCAAGGGAAGGGCACTGAAAAATAATCTAAGTGAAACTACCAAAAAACATTAAAGAAAGAAAAAACACCACTGTGTTAGACTTAAAAAAATATTTATAAGACATGTTTTTTAATTTTCACAGAATATCACTTAATAAATATTTTACCAGGATGATGAGGATACATCACAATGATGGAGGAAGCACAGGGGACAACTGAAGGATAGAAACTTTTAACAATTTAATTTAAACCTGAATTCATCAGACTTGTCCTTGGCATCAGGCCTTGAAACCTGGCAGAGAAAGTGTCCTGATGCACCCAGCCCAGGTGTCTAGCGTGGGCACATAGCCAGGTCAGTATACGGAGGACCAGTGGCAGCGGCTCTTGATTACCTGAAGCAGAGGCTTCCTGAAAGTGAGGAAGATGATGGTGCAGGCCACCAGCAGGGTGAGGCAGCTAGGAAGAATGAGCACAAGGTACAGCAGGCCCATGTCCACCCGCTCCCACTTACATTCCTGAGGAATGCCCCCGGGCAGCTCTGTCAGGTGAATGACCTTGGAGGAGAGGTTGCAAGTGACCATGGCTGAGTCGGCGACCGTGTGCAGGCGCTGCAGGGCTGCCCAGCCCTCCACCCCACAGCAGTCATAAGGATTCTGACTGAGGTAGACGGTCCGCAGACTTCTTGTGAGCTGCTCAGACACAGCCCTCTGCGGAAGGGCTGTGAGCAAGTTTCTGCGGAGATCCAGGGTCTGCAGGGCCAGGCTGCCCTGCAACGTTGGGAAACTGGTCAAGGCATTTCCCGACAGATCCAAGTCCCTCAGACTCCCAAACCCAGAGAAGTCCAACTCCGTGAGGCTGGAACCGAGGCCCACATTCCTGAGAGACAGGACCTGTAACGTGGGGGCAGTGTCCCAGAGAGGAGCGATGCTCCCGTTCAGAACCCTCCAGTTGCCAGACAGGTCTAGGTGGGTGAGGGCGGTCCCCTGGAATGAGCAGTCTTGTAGTGCCCCCAGCCCACAGCCCTCCAGGGACAGGCTCCTCAAAGATGCCATATTTCTGAAATCCACACAGGCAGGGCCGCCCCCAGGGTCTAAGCCCGCCGGCTGGGGACAAAGTGAGATCTGATTGTGGCTCATGTCAATTGTAGTGAGGTTACTGGCATCAGCAAAAAGGCCTGTGGGGACACCCAGGAGCTGGTTGGAGCTCAGATTGAAGGACCGGAGGCTCCTCAGGCAGCCGGGGAGCCCCGGAGCCAAGTGTAGCTCCGATAGCTGGTTCTGGCTCAGGTCCAGCTCGGTGAGTGCTCCTGGCGGCTCGTGCTCCCGGATGTGGAGCGTCATCAGGCAATTCTGGTTGAGGTTCAGGTGGGAGAGGGAAGGCATTTTCTTTAGGAAGCCCTCAGGCAGGTACTGGAACTGGTTCTGGCTCATATCCAGGAAGCGGAGATCTGAGAGGTTACTGGAAGCAAACTCTTCCCAGAGGCTGACGGTGGTGATGTTGGTCACGTTGCCGTCCACAAGGAGGAACTGGGCCACCATCTCCTGCCTCGACGAGGTGTTGTACAGGTCCCTGTAGAAGCCCATGTTGTTGTCCCGCAGCAGGAGGGTGTGCAGCTTGCCGCACTGGGGCAGGAGGGGGAAAAACAGCAGCTGATTATGAGAGAGGTCCAGCGTCTCCAGCTCAAAGGCAGCCTCTCCCCCCGATGCCAGGAACCACTCCAGGGCGTTGTAGCTGACGTTGAGGAACTGGAGCTGTGTGAGACCGAAGTCCACAATGCAAGGGAGGTTATTATAGGCCAGGTTGAGGTGCCTCAGCTCCGTCAAGCTGTCAAAAGCACCACCCTCAATCTCAAAGATGTAGTTCCTCTGCAGATCCAGCTCCCTGAGGTGCCCCAGGCCCTCAAACACGGAGTCGTCAAGCCTCATGATGGTGTTCCTTGCCAGGGACACAGACTCCAGAGAAGAGAGGTTCTGGAGCATGAGGGCCACCATGTCTTCGGTCAGGGAGTTCCCCGACAAGTCCAGCCTCCGCAGAGCCCGCGGGCCGCGGAGAGCAGCTGCGGCCTCCTGGTAGCTCTCCGAGAGGGAGTTGTCCGGCAGCGCCAGGCTGCGCAGGTGCACCTGCTCCTGGAAGGCAGCGCGGCTGATGTGCTCCAGGTGGCAGCTGTGAAAACTGAGGCTCTCCAGGAGAGGGTAACGCTGCAGGGAGCGGTTCCACAGGGTCTTGAGAGGGTTGGCATCCAGGATGAGCGTCTGGGAGTAGGGTGGGAGATTGCTGGGCACTGAGGCAAGGTTCTGCCCTCGACAGTCAGCGACTCCATCCAGCTAGGGCCAGAAACACATTGGTCAGCAGGGAGGGGGGCCTCTGAGGCAGAGGTTATGCACAGAAACTTAGTTCCTCATCAGACTGTTTCTGCAACCGTTGGGAGGGCTCTAGAGCCTCACTGAATGCTCCAGGCCTCACTCAGAATACACAGCGTGTTCAGAAAGATCTGAGCACCTGTCCATGGGGTGCTGAGTGTCGACCACTGTACTTGCAGTTTGGTTTTAACCACAGGGGGAGACTGAGGACCAGGTCTCTACCTGGGTTTGAATTCCACCTCTGCGTGACCTTGGGCAAATAATTTAGCCTAAATCTGTTATTTTGCCTGAAAAATGAAAATTAAGAGAGTCCCTACTTCAGAGGATTGTAGTGAAATTAGGAAAGAGGCTGCACAGTGCCTGGCACACAGTGACCGTTCATGCAGACGGTCGCTATTGCAGTGTTATCGCCATTGTCCTAACACCTGTGTGTTTAGCAGGGATGCCATGAACTGAGAACCAGCGGCACTGTGGCATCTTCATTTCACCTAAAAGAATTCTGCCGGGGAGGCTCCACCATATTTTGGATTGATAAATATTACAGCTCGAAAGGACCTGATTGCTCATTACTACCCTGAATTTTACAGAGAAGTAAAGTGAGGTCTAGAGAAGACAAGTGAAGAGCCAATGGCAGAGCTGGGACCGGAGCCCAGAGCTCTTATTGTCCAATTCAGTGCTTTTCCTGAATGCCATTCTGCTACGATTGTGTGGCGTAAGGAGGCAGGAAGGATGGGTCTGGTCTCACTGCAGAAATCAAATAAGCCTCAGGATATTTTAACTCAGCCCAGTTTTTACAAGATTGGCAAAAACAACCAGCCACCTGATATTCCTTTAGTGTCCAGAAAAGGGTTTTAAGTGATAAGACAGAAGAGCCAATGGCGTTCCTTTCCACAGACTGCTCAGCAGGACAAGGTCAGTGTTCGCCTAAAATTGTGGGCCCAATCCCAGGGGGCAAATGGAGTAGTGGAACGGGGGAGAAAATCCTGAGAGAGAGAGGAAGAAGTACAGCTTTGGAGAGATGACAGACTCAAGCCTGCAACTTATTAGCTTTGGACTCTGGGCAAAAAATTAACCTCTTGTAACCCCCAGTTCTTTATCTGATTATTGAAATAAATCTTCTCATAATTAAAAATTGATACATTATCGAAATATAGAAAATTAAACTATTCGGTAACCTCAGCCTCTCTTTCAAAGAAATGCTATCGTTTTGTTATATCTCTTCTGGACTCTTTCCTGTTATCTACCTTAAAAATTTTTTTAAATCAGACTGCACTCTACAAACTGTTCAGTAATCTACTCTTCCCCATTCCCCATTAATGACATGTGATAGACATACTGACTTGTCAATAAAATTAAATTTGGTCACATTCTTTTTAGCAACTGTATGTTAGTTCATTGCATGAACAGCAGAGTGGTTAAGAGCAAGATCTCTAGGGTCAGCCTATCTTGATTCTGCTTTCTATCAAATGGGTGACCTCGGACTGGTACCTAACCCGTAGCGACCTTCATTACTGCACCTGTAAAATGGAAGTTATACTTGTAATTTTCTCACAGGTTTTCTTTTGAGGATTCAGTGTGATTGTTTATGTAAGACACTTAACATAGAATCTGCCACGTAAATGCTTACTAAATGTTAGCTATAATGATTATTAGCATGCTCTAATTAATCTCCCATTGTTGAGCATTTGAGTTATTTCTAATTTACAGATGAATGTTAAAATGAATTTGTCTAGCTCCTTCTAGACCTCCTCTCACCCCCTCAGAAAAATCTTTGGTGTTTTGATTGGGATCCTATTACAATCACGGAGTAATCTGGGGATGGACTGATATCTTTACAAAACTGAATCTCCCCATGCAGGAACAAGATGTATATCCTTACTTGAGTAAGTGTTGGTCTTCCTCCGGCAGGGACTCTCTGGACAATGTTGTGGTTAGGGGTTTCCTACATAAAACCCTTTTTCACCAGAGTTGCTGCAGTTTGGGGTAGGGGGGACACATCTCTGCAATTCCTGCAGCTCCACTGAAGTACTGCAGAAAGACCATACGGCCGTCAGGGCCTGAGAAAGCTTACCACGTCCACTTCATGATAACACCGCATGACTGATTCAAGGGGGGCTTTGGAGGGTACCTGGACCTTCAAACTCTCAACCCTCAGTTCAAAAGAGCACAGGAAATCCGCTCTGATCTCACTGGTAGCCAAGGCCCTACTCCTGCCCACCGGGCTGCAGAGGATCAGGCAGGGAGTCTAGCCTGAACCTCCAAAGCTGCCAAAGTACTCCGGCTTTACTCCCTCCTCTTCCTCTGCCTGGTGACTCCTGAATTAGCCACTGTGAAGTTAACCTTTCATTGCCTCTGTGAAGGAGTAATAGAAGTCTGTGTAGCAGAGACTAGCAACAATAATAACAACAACGGATAAAACACACAGCACTTACTGCATACAAGGCCGTGTCCTGAGTGCTTTACATACATTAACTCACTGTATCATCATAAAAGCCCAGTGTTATGGTATTATTGGTTGGTACTATTATTACCTACATATTTTACAGACGAGGAAATTGAGGCACAGACTGGTCCAATGTCACTAGCTAGTAGGTGGTGGGGCTGGGGTTTAAAGTTGATCTGGTTTATACCGTATACCCTCTACCCCACATTGGAGTCTACTTAGCATGGCAGTTAGAGGTTACTAAAAGTGGTTAAGAACCATGATCACCTGGGTTTTTAAGATTCATCAGCCTTAAGAACACATTTTTGAATGTAAGTATTGTCCCTGACATCCAATTTGTCTTCCCAGTGCCTGGTATCTAATAGGACTCAAGGAACAGTCATTAAATGTGTGTTTCTCCAGCAGACTTTTGATGCCACTGAGCTATAGATAAAGGAGAAAATTTTGACAGAATGTTCAGTTGTTATGAGCCAAGTCTGCTTCCACATATGGGCTGAAGCCCTGGCGAGGGTGAACGGTAAAAGCTCAGGTGTCTCTCCCTGGATGGTCACAGGCCTGAGTGAGCTCAGGGATGTTGCTCTGTGGTGCAGCATGGACAGTGTGCCCTTCGGAACAGCTGGGTAAGCATTTGCTATCGGCTCACACACAGACTCTGGGGGAGGGCTTTTCCAACCTTAACATTCCCCACCCAGAGATTCCAAGACCATTAGTGGAGCTCCATCAGCCAGATACTTAACAAGGTGTTCTTGTTCCAGGTAGCTGGCCTCAGCCCATCTCTGGGGTCATCTATCTTTAGCAGGTATGAAAAGGGTGGGGAAGGGCCTTTCCCGGGCATCATCTCTTTTGATCAAAGAGCAAGTTGCACATGGCATCATGCTAAGTGCGTACAGAGTGATTCAGACATTCATTCCCTTCCCTCTTTGATTGACGATCCATCAACTTTCCAAATGGACCCAGCCTCGTCAGGACAGGTGTGACAGACAACTGGGAATCCCCAGGAAAACTCACCAACTTACAGCCCCCTTGGGAAGCTGCTGTGACCCTTCCACTTCGGTTCCTCCATTCCACCATCAAGAAGTGAAAACCCAGGCAGAGCCAGAGGGGCAATAACTCCATCTCAAGTACAGCACTGTGGACAGAGGGCAAGGAAGATGCAGGTAAGAGAAGGACATCCCAGAGGCCTGCCCTGCATTCCCAGTAGAAAAAGCCAGTTCTCTGTTACGTTCGGTTTTGGCAGCCCACAGCTACAGGGAGGTGGAAACCCGTAGAAGATTCAAATACCTCAAGTTAGCCAACACTGTCAACCTTTCACTGCAGCTGTCAACAAGAATTCATTTTCATTTTGCCTCTGCCATTTGATGAGCAGGTGGCTGAACCTGAAACTCCTGGGTCCGGCAACAGAAGAGAAAAGTAAATGATTTGAGGAACCAGGTCTCAGGTCACCTAGAGTTTGCCATGTTTCATAGTTCTGTTAAAATATTCCTCTCAAAGCTCACATCTGCCCAATGCATTGCCTGAGCTCAATAATATTTGCTGAGTGAATGAATGAGATAATGAATGATGAACTGGAATTGAATTATTAATTGTAGCCTCTGGTCTCAGAGAGTTAATAGCTGTTGTGCTGGCATGAGTCTTTTAGAAAAGAGTACACCTCGTTGATTAACTCATTTGAATACAGCCCTTTAAAAAAAAGGATTTTGGTATTTCCCGCTGAGGGAAAAATGAAAAAGTAATCTTCAGATATAACAAGGATTATTGATGGAGTGTGGTTACTGGCTCTCTTACTTGGCCGGTGAACACAGAACAGGAGTCATGAGAAGGCTTAAAATGATACATATACCAATAGAATTTTAGAACTAAAAGGAAGCATAATGGAAATGTAGTATACCCTCCACCATCACATTTTTCCAGGGCCAAGGTACATAGGCCCAAGGATAGGCCTTATTCAAGGTTCCAGACTGACTTGGTGGCGGGGCTGTCAGAAGCTCCAGGTCCCCCTCCCCGAGCTCCAGGATGAGTAACCATTTCTCTCCCTGCAGGTGCTGCTGAGTTGACTGCCCCCTTGTTGGGAGAGTTCACAGACCAGTGGCAACCCCAGCTCTGCAGTGCTTAGAATCAGAGGCACGTGCCCAGCACCAGCATTTCACCTGCCCCGTCCTCTCCTTGAGATCCCCACGGGAAGGGACACAGAGTCTGCTCTCGAGTCTTCTCCAGGGCCAGCAGGACCAGCACTAACATGCACCCCCTCACCTATTCCATGGGACCCACAGACCTTTCTGCCCGACACATCTAGCCATCTTGGGCCCCTTCCTCTTTCCTTTTCTTCGAATGAGTTTACACATCTCTAAGGCTAATTTTAACTTTCTGGTCAGATTTGAATACTCACCAGTGAAAACAGACTAACAGAAAAAGCTAAGTGAAACCAGGTAAGTCAACTTTAACCTTCGCTTCAGGTCAGGCCAGTTCTCCTTACCACAGAGGGAACCTCCAATTCAGGATTCATCAATGTTTGCCAGACAGTGGGAGTCTGCTTCCCAGGCCCTCCTTCCGTTCCTGCACCTGTGCAGGAATTATTACCTCATGGCATGTACAGGGCCCAGATGGCAAAAACAGAGGCATATGGGCTCCTGTCCTCAGTCTCCTCCCAACACACACACACACACATACACACAGCGTGATCACTGCCTTCCTTGAGATAAGGTTGCCAGACTTAGCAAGTTACAAGATGCCATTCGAAAGTTGGATAAACAACAAATAACTTTTTAGGGTAAATAAGTCTCATGCAATATTTGGAACATACACTAAAAAAATTGATTGTCTGACATTGAAATTTCACTGAGTGCCCTGCATTTTATTGAGAAGAGACAGGAAAAGAGGAGGGTATAGCTCAAGTGGCAGAGCCCATGCTTAGCATGCATGAGGTCCTGGGAGCAATCCCCAGTGCCTCCTCTAAGAGTAAATAAATAAATAATAAATTATTTATTTATTTACTTCCCCCAACCAAAAAAAAAAAAAAAAAAGAGAGAGAGAGAGAAGAGATGGAAGATGTGAACCATGGACTTACTCACTCCTTTTGTCCCTCATCCCCTTTGTCAGGCTTGGGACGGTACATGCTGCTGTGACACTGAAATAGCCAGCCCTGTGTACTGATACTGAGTCTAGATGTGTTCAGGGCAAGAGTGTAGTTTTTTCAGGGAGAATGTAACTCTTTAGACTGGTATGCTAGATAGACCTGGTGTCAGTTATGCCCAGAGTGTAATTTTAATGTCTGGATCAGCAAAAAAATTTTTGCAAATTTAAAACATATTTTCTCCTAAACTCAGTCAACCGGCCCAGAAAGACTCTTGCTGTGCCCTCTGGGTGACTCCATCTCCCATGAGGCAGTGTGGGAAGATTATGGGATTTGGAACCAGACAGACCAGGATTTGAATTCTGGCTCCAGGATTTGTTATTTGTCCTTGAGCAATTCACGTAAAATCTCCAAGACTCAGATAATCCTTATATAAATGGAGATAATAATAACTACTCAGAATTTTCATGAAAATCAAATAGTATATATAAAAGTGCTTCATTAACTATAAAGGTAGTTAATAACATAATTGTTACTCATGAATTCCAAACACCAATGGGCTGGTTAAGTCGTCATTTACTCTAATGTGTAACCTCCAAGGTAATTCAACAGCTACATGAAGAAGGGGAAAAATCGAATTTGGCTGAAAGAATGAATATATCATTATACAGAGTAGATGTGTGAAAGTTATGTGGGAAGCTTGAATTAAAAATTCTACATTAATAAATTCCAGAATAAACTTCTATTATTTGGACAGAAAGAAAAGGACTAATCCCAGTAACAGATGACTATGCTGGTTGAGAGTCATTTGTCCTCAGACCCATGGTTTACCCTTCCCCTCCCCTGCTCTGGATCACAGCGGGCTGATGGCTGAAGGCTCTGGGTGTCAGCTGGCCTCCAGCTGGTTTGGTCAATGGGAGGCATTAGTGGGAGGTTAGTTAAAAGGTAGAAGGAGAAAATCCATGATATTGCTCTTCCTCTCTCTCTGCCTAAGGAGAGGCCCTTGAGCTTCTTCTGGTGACTCCGAAGCTCTAGTAACTTCCTCCCTCTGTCCTACCCACGGCCTAGGGGAGGGGGCAGCTTTCTGAAGTTGCTAATCTCTGGGTTAACGGTCTGTTCTCTGGCTGGCTTCTCAGCCTCTTCCATCATGTGTAGCCAACTTCCTGCTTTAAATTTCCTCTGTTTTAAATAATCTATGTGTTTCTGTTTCCTATTTGGAGACTGACTAATATAATGATGTAAGTGAGAATGGTCTTGGAGCAATACTAAACCAAAATGTATGGTGTGTAATGGCTCTGAAAAGCAATAAAAGACTTTCAAAATAGTAACCGTTTAGGTTGAGAAACACTCTTTGTGGAGCATTAACTGCAGAAGCCTTCCTCGGAGCCACAGCACAGCGAAGAGTACAAGACAGACAGTTGGGATGCCAGATCTCACTGGAAAATCCCATGACACCTCTCCTGTGTACTCGGGACTGCTTCCCTCCACCCACACTTAACCTCAGTTGGGTGAGGACCACTCCACAGTGTCTCCAGCTGTATGAGAGCGTCTATGCTTGAGCGTGCTTTTAAAAAAGTAACTGTCCCACTTTACTTCTATCTGTCTGATATCTTCTGAAAAACATCAATTTTTTAAGCCGAATGTTGCTCATCTTAGATACATTTTTGCTGGAGAAAGGGAAGTGAATGAAGAACAACTATGACTGGGGGCACACATGACAGCATGACATTAACAATTTAAATGAGGTAACCTGGAACCTCCTCTCATTATAATTAAAAGTGTTTGCATCAATGGTGCCCATTTCATAGGCTGAGAACCACTGTGGGAGCCACAGAGTTAATACAAAGGAACAACAAATCAACCCATGTTCCAAGTAGGATGTGAATCAGTATTATGTCTCCTCCTGGTCTGGGTGACCACTGGGGGAATATCCTATATAAGACCTGAGATCCTGACACGGGAAGCAGATGGCATTAACAGAATCTGCTTGTATCTGTTCTTAAACCAGATGGCAAAGTCAAAGAATTCTTTCCAAGTGCAGAAGCGGAAAATGGTAAATCCCATTCTCTCTTATATAGAGTCTACAAAGCCTATATTCTTTGAGTCAGTTAACGAATTCTACAGTCTCCCTCTATCTTTTACCCAGTTGTAGCTATCATGATTATGACTCAAGCCAGAGACCATGAGCTTCGAATTAGCGAAAACCTTTGAAGGGCTAAGACCCCACTGACCCTGGTGCAGGAGCCGAGATTCTATACTGTGTCTGTAACACACCTGACTTGGAAATATCAAGATTATAAATCCAACCTCATGTTAAAGCAAACTCCTCTTGCTGTTGCATTTATATTTTTTTCTTTATCTTCTAACTATTCTGTTTGTGTCATCACAGAATGTCCATCCTGGTTCCTCTCTAAGAAGTCCTTGAAATATTAGGACCTCAAGTGCTTGATGGCATCCTCTACATAACCATTCATCTTGATATTATGCTTTCTAACTGGTTATCATGGAAACGTGTGATTCAACTCCACATCCATCCCTTGTTTGTAAAGAGTGTTCCTTTTTCAGTCAGAGAGGCAATATGGCTTTTTGTCTGGCTTTTCTCTCTCCAGATCTGGTCATAATAAATAAGTGGTGAAATCAAATTCATTTCATAAAAATAGCTGACTATATTCTGAAATAAGAGAACACTGACAGCGAGGAAGAAGAATGCATATCAGCTACAAAAAAAATCCTCTTTGTTTCAGAAACTATGCTTATTTGCTTTTTCCATTTCCACAAAATAATAGGGAGAAGCCCTTGCTTCACTGAGCCAAGTAAGGGAAAAGAAGGCTGATTGGATGGCCCTGTGGGCTGTGTAAACAATGAAAGGGAAGAGAACATTTACTCCTTTTGGAAGGACCATCCTGATCCTGCCGGCAGTGGCTTGACTATAAGGTGCGGCTCAAGTTGTAAACTCAGGATTGCTTAGATGGAAGAAGACGGTCACATGCAGGCCAAGGGGTGGCTCCTGTCCAGTCCAGGACACGTGTGGGTGATACTTGCTTTTGCAATGGACAGGG